GCTACCGGGTCCGGGACGTGAACCACGGTCGACTACGTGGGAGTCCAGCGACATAGACATTACACTAACTGCAGGTCCCTGTATTATTATTATTTTTTTTAAAGAATTATTATTATTTAAAGATTTTAACTTCATTCATTCATTCATTCAGTTTGACCAGAGAGGGAGAGAGCAAGAGCAAGAGGGGGAAAGTGAGAAAGCAAGCTGCCAGGTCTGGGACTTGAACGATCGTTAGTCATGGGGAGTCCAGCACCCTTAACCACCACGCCACCTGCCAGCCCCTCTGTCTCTATCTTGAGTTGAACTCTGACTTCAATAACCAATTGTTGGCGGCCAGCAGGTACCATGGTGGTTAAGGTGCTGGACTCTTACATGGTCAATGACAGTTCAAGTCCTAGACCTGGCAGCTTCTTTCTTCACTTTTTCTCTCTCTGGTGAGCACATGTGCTGTATAGCAAGTTAAAGGAGGGAGAAATAGAGGAGAATGGATTGTGGCATGACCATGCCCCACTGCTGGTTGATTTCTCATTTTCTCTCTCTCTCTCTGAAGAGCACATGTGCTTTATGACCAATTTATTTTGTTGTTGTCATTAGAGAGATTTTTGCTATAGGGCATGTGTACTTGCCAGAGATACAGACAGAAAGTGAGAAATCACCCCCCCCCCCAGGGTGATTGAGGCCATGCCTCAATCCTTTCCAAAATCTCTGGATTTGGGGCATGCATGCACATGTGCCTGGCATGAGTTTGAAGCCACTGGATCTGGGACTTGAACTGCAGTCGACTACATGAGATTCTAGGGATGTAACCATTATGTCATCTGCTGGTTCTGCCCTCTGGCAAATTTTTTAAAAATTGAGGGCCTTTTTAGAAAAACAAAATCATAGGAGAAAATCTTCAAAATCTAGAGCAGGCAGAGTTTGTAGATTCAGCACTAAAATCAAGAGCCATAGAAGAAAAAAAAACTAATAAATTGGACCCCATCAAAAATTTTTAAAGTTTTGCAAGTCTATGTGAGGAGGATGAGAGAGAAGCTACAGACTGGGAGAAACTATTTACAAATCACATATCCAAGAGAGGACTGGAATCTAGATTATATGATGAACTCTCACAGGGGACCAGCAGATGGCATAGTGGTTATATCACTGAACTCTCACATGGTCGACTGCGGTTCAAGTCTCGGACCCAGTGGCTTCAAACTCAATGCTGGTCGCATGTGTATGCATGTCCAAGATCCTGGGAGGAGAATGGAGGAGAAGGGATTGTGGTATGGTCACTCTCTTTGGGGGAGTCATTTCTCACTTTTCCTCTCACTGTATCTGTCTTTCTCTCTCCAGTGAGCACACATGCCTTAAGGCAAAAATCTAAAAACAAAGAACTCTCATGGGATCAGAAGATGGCGTAATGGTTACATTGCTGGACTCCCACGTAGTCAACCACAGTTTAAGTCTTGGACCCAGTGGCTTCAAACTCACACTGGGTACATGTGCATGGGTACCCAAAATTCTGAGAAGAGAATGAAGAAGGGATACAGTATAACCATCCCCCCTGGAGGTGATTTCTCACTTTCTGTCTCTCTGATTCTCTGTCTCTCTGGCAAGCACACATGCCCTATAGCCAAAATCTCTCTACAACAAAAACATAGAACTCTCACAACAATAAAATAACAATCTAGGGACCAGCAGTTGGTGTAATGGCTATCTCGCTGGACTCCCATGTAGTCAACCTCAGTTTGAATCCCGGACTTGGTGACTTAAACTTATGCCAGGCACACGTGGATGTGCCCAAGACCCCAGAGGAGAATGGAGGAGAAGGGATTGCAGCCATCCACCCTGGGCGGTGAGTTCTCACTTTCTGTCTCTCTTTGTCTTTCTGGTGAGTGCACGCGCCCTATAGCAAAAACCTTTAAAAAAAAAAAGGAACAATCTAATTAGAAAATGAGCAAACATCATGAAGACAGTTCACTGAAGAGGATGTACAGATAGCAAATAACACATGAAAATATATTCAATATCAGAATGGCCCCATAGTTTAATGGTTAAGTGCTAGGAAACCTGATCCCACATTGCCAGTTGGGGTTTGAATCCCAGCCCTGGTAGCTTATACTCTTGTGTGTGTGCAGGACCCTGAGAGAATAGATAAAAAGGATTGTTGTACTATGAGCCCCATTGAGGGGTGCTTCCCCCCCCCAATAGGGCACGTGTGCTTGACAGAGAGCAACAGAGACAGTGAAGATGAAAGTGAGAAATCATCCCCCAGAGAAGATGACCATGCTGCAATTGCTCCTCCTTTACTCTCCTCTTGGGATTATGGGCAAGCATGCACATGCACACGGTGTGATTTTCAAGCCATCAGTCCAGTACTCAAACCACAGTTGCCATATGGGAGTCCAGCACCTTAATCACTACACCACCTGCTGACCCCATCTTCTCTCTTTTTCTTTTTCTTTTCTTTTTTCTTTTCCTTTCCTTTCCTTTCCTTTCCTTTCCTTTCCTTTCCTTTCCTTTCCATTTCTCTTTTCTTTTCTTTTCTTTTCCTTTCCTTTTTCTTTCTCCTTCCTTCCTTCTTTCTCTTTCTTTCTTTCTTTCTTTCTTTCTTTCTTTCTTTCTTTCTTTCTTTTCTTTCTTTTTCTTTCAGTTTTGTTAAAGGGTGCATGCATTTGCAGAAAGAGAGAGAGAAAGAGAGAGAGAAAGCAACCCCCAAGGGGGACAGCTATGATGTAATACCTGCTCCCCCATTCTCCTCTCCAGATTTGGCAAGGAGGTACACATGCCCAGTGAGTTCTTCAAGCTGCTGGATCCAGACCATGAAGTCAGCCATGTGGGATCCAGTTGCCTTAAACATCATGCCACAGGGTGATCTGAGGTGTACTTTATCTCTCCCTCCTCTTTGTCACTCGTATGTGTACATGTGCCCTCTAGCATAATAAAAAGGATTTATACTCAACATCATTAAACATTAGGGAAATACAAATTAAAACCACAAAGAAATATCATTACACATCTACCAGAGTGGCAGAAATAAAAAATAGAGACAGCAGCAAATGTTGGAAGAAGGCAGAAACTGAACCATCATGTATTACTGGTGGAATAGAAAATGGTTCTGCTGCTTTGGAGACCAGTTGGCAGTTTCTTTCAAAACTAAACATGAAAGTACCATATGACTGGGCGACTACACTTCCTGGGCGCTTATCCCAGAGAAACAAAAACTTATGTTCACTCGAATATCTGTACACAAATGTTCCTAACAGCTTTATTTGTAAGGGCCAGAAACTGGAATCGGTCCAGATATCTTTTAATAGGTTACTGGTTAAACAAACTGGTATATTCAAGTACCAAATTGGTTATTGTGGAATACTACTCAGTATTGAAAAAAATGAACAACTTGGATGAAGGTTTAGAAAATTATGCTGAGTGGAAAAAGCTCCAGTTTTCATACTGAATTACTACTTCATTTATTAACTTTTCTTGTTTTTGTTTGTTTGTTTGTTTTTGTTTTTGCCATAGGGGCATGTGCATTCCTGGAGAGAGACAGAAAGAGACAGTGAGACTGGAAGCAAGAAATCACTCCCTAGGGGGGATAGGCATGCCACAATCCCTTCTCCTCCATTCTCTTTTTTTTGGAGAGGTTTTTGCTACAGGGCACGTGTGCTTGCCAGAAAGACAGAGAGAGACAGAGAGACATAAAGTGAGAAATCACCCCCCGGGGGGATGGTCACGCGTCAATCCCTTCTCCTCCATTCTCCTCTCAGGATCTTGGGCATGCATGCACATAGGCCCAGCGTGAGTTTAAGCCACCGGGTCCGGGACTTGAACCGCAGTTGACTACGTGGGAGTCCAGTGACATAGCCATTAAGCCAACTGCTGGTCCCCATTCTCTTTTCTATGGGAGATTCTGAGCACGTGCATACCAGACCCAGCGTGATTTTGTTTTCCTTCCTTCCTTTCTTTTTCCTTTCCTTTCCTTCCCTTCCTTTCCCTTTCCTTCCCTTTCCTCCTTTCTTCTTTCTTTGTATTATTTCTTTAAGAACTCTCAATTCTTTTTCTAAAATAATTCTTTTTTTTTCCTTTGGAGATGTTTTTGCTATAGGGAGCGTACGCTCGCCAGAAAGACAGAGAGACAGAGAGACAGACAGAAAGCGAGAAATCACTCCCCAGGGGGATGGTCATGCCGCAATCCCTTCTCCTCTATTCTCTCAGGATCTTGGGAATGCATGCACATGTGCCTGGCATGAGTTTAAGCCACCGGATCTGGGACTTGAACTGTGGTCGACTACATGGGAGTCCAGTGACATAGCCATTACTCCAGCTGCTGGTCCCAAGAATGAATAAATAAAATTAAAAAAATAATTCTATTTTTTTTTGGGGGGGGAGGGTAGTCTACCTAACAGAATTCTTTATTTAGGGGTCAGCAGGTGGCATAGTGGTTAAGGCACTGGACTCCCACATGGCCGACTGTGGTTTGAATCCTAAACCTGGAGACTTGAAATATGCCAGATGTGTGTGCATGCATGCCAAAAATCCTGAGAAGAGAATGAAGGAGAAGGGATTATGGTATGGCTATCTCTCTTGGGGGATGATTTTTTTTTTTTTCTTTTTTTTTTTTTTTTGAGAGGTTTTGCTATAGGGTGCGTGTGCTCACCAGACAGAGACAGAGAGACAGAAAGCAAGAAATCACCCCCCAAGGGGGATGGCCATGATGCAATCCCTTCTCCTCCATTCTCCTCTCAGGATCTTGGGCAAGCATGCACACGTGCCTGGCGTGAGTTTTAAGCCACCAGGTCCGGGACACGAACCGCAGTCGACTACATGGGAGTCTAGCGACATAGCCATTACGCTAACTGCTGGTCCCTTGGGGGATGATTTCTCAACTTTCTCTCTCTCTATCTCTCTGGCAAGCACACATTTTTGCCCAACAGCAAAAATCTCTCTTAAAAAAGAATTATTAATTTAATTTATTATTATTATTTTAATTAATCAGAGAGAGAGAAAGTGAAAAATCAAGCTGCCAGTTCCAAGATTCAAACCATGGTTGGCCATGTGGGCATCCAGTGCCTTAACTACAATGCCATCTCCTGGCACCTCCCAGCATGACTTTCTTTCTTTTTAAAGAGTTATTTATTTAAATTTATTTATTATTGTCATTTTTTAAAAAGTTGCTATAGGGCAGTGTGCTCACAAGAGAGAAAGATAAAAAGCAAGTCATCAGATCTGGGACGCGAACCATGGTTGACCATGTGGGACTCCAGTTCCTCAACCACCATGCTACCTGCGGGCTCCCCAGTGTGATTTTCAAGCTTCCAGGTCCAGGACTCAGATCTCAGCGAGCACCTTAACCACCATGTCACCTGCTGGCCCCCATACAACTTTTAAAAATCAAATAATAATTTTAAAATCTTATTTATTATCATTAGTTTTTAAAATTTGCTATGGGCATGTACTTTCATCAGAGAGAGAAAGAGAGTGGGAAAGTGAGAAAACAAGCCGCTAGGTCTGGGAACCATGGTGAGAATTCCAGATTCTCCCATGTGAGAATCCAGCACCTTAACCACCATGCCACCTACCCCTATAACTCTTTTTAAAATGATAGTTATGTGCATGTGCATGAGAGAAAGTACTCTCCATAGGGTCTTGTCATGTTGTGATCCCCTTCCCCCAGCCCTCTAGCTCCTCAATATCTTGGGCACCTTTGTACATATCTGGCACGTCTTCAGGCTGACCCAGGTATCCTAACTCACAGTTGGCCGTGTGACTTGCAGCACTACAGTCCGGTCCAGCTGTGCATGCACATGGCTGGTCTTATATAACATTTTAAATGAAAATAGTTGGGAAATGGAGGACAGATTGGTGGTTTAAGGACAGGGGAGGGATGAAGGAGTGGAAGATAGGTAAATGTTATAAAGGGCAGCACCAGGCTGGCTCTGTAGCCTCATGGATCCCACATGGCCAGCTGCGTAGTTTGAGTCCTGAACCTGAAGGTTTGAGAAACACGCTGGGCACATATGAATGTGTACCCAAAATCCTATAAAAGATTGACTATTCCCATGAGGGAAGGCTTCTTTCTCCTCTCTCTCTCTCTCTCTCTGGTATGTACACACACCCTCTAGCACAAAAAATATAAACAGAAAGGGCAGCATCACCAGTGATTCTTTTATTTATTTATTTATTTATTTTGATAGGTTTTTGCTATAGGGCGCATGTGTTTGCCAGAAAGACAGAAAGCAAGAAATCACCCCCTGGGGGGATGGCCACACCGCAATCCCTTCTCCATTCTCCTCTTGGGATCTTAGGCATGCATGCACACGTGCCCGGCATGAGTTTAAGCCACTGGGTCTGGGACTCGAACTGCAGTTGACTACATGGGAGTCCAGCGACATAGCCATTATGCCAACTGCTGGTCCCGATGTTCAGTATCTTGACTGTGATGGATATACACAAATGAGTAAAAGTAAAAGTGAGCAAGGCTGTCCAGCTTTGACTTTTGTTTTTGTTTTGTTTGTAAAATTATGCTATAGGGTACATGAGTTTGCCAGTGACTAAAAGAGAGGGAAAGTGAGAAAGCACGCCTCAGGGAGAATGGTCATACTGCAATCCCTTATCTAGTCTCCTTTTGGGATTTTGGGCATGCATACACATGCAGCCTGTGTGTTTTTCGATTCCCTGGGCTCAGAATCTGAACTGTGCAGCCAGCCATGAGGGATCCAGCTGCCTTAACCATCATACCACTTGATAACCCCCATTAAATGTTTTTAAAATAATTATTTTATTTAACTTTATCCATTTATTTATTTATTTGACTAGAGAGGGACAGAGGGAGAGACAGACAGAGGGAAAGTGAGAAAGCAAGCCACCAGATCTGGGACTCAAACTACGGTGGGCCATGTGGGAGTCCAGCGTCCATAAGTATCACACCACCTGCCAGCCCATTTAAAAATTTTTTTTATAGAGACAGGGTCTGAGTATGTTGCCCAATAGCCAAATCTGGCCTCAAACTTCCAATCCATTTGCCTCAGCCTCCCGAGTAGCCAGAACTATAAGTAGTTGCCACCGTGCCTGACTACAACTGCCTAGTTTGGCACTGTTCTTCTCTATCCTATCTGTAGGGGAAGATCTGACATTTCAGGGAAGAGGAGCAAAGCTAATGCCTGTCCCAGAGACAGGCTGCTCCCAGGTGTCAGTACAGCTAAAAGGGCTCTTAGGGCCTGGTAGAGGCAGGAACTAGCCCAGTCACCCACCCGCTCAGGGTTGCCCTCATACCTGACACCGTTGTAGAAACACTGCTGGAGGTTGGGGCTTGGCTGCAAGGCGGTATTCTCCAGCACTTTCACTCTTGAATTGACCTCTGTAGTGTCCGTAGAAGCCACTGTTGTACTGTAACAAGGCAGGTATGAGGGTAAAATCATACCTTTACCCAGGGTCCCAGACCTCAGCGCCTTCTTGAAGTATTCTGGGGATGCAAGGCCAGAAACCTTTCACTGGAGTTCCTAACAGAGTAGGAAGACTCTGAGGAGAGATACTCCTGCAGAGGAACTGGCTGGGAGGCACCTCCATCCATTATTGGGACAGTTGGCCTCAGCTCTGCTGGCCTTCCTGGACTGGCTGTGTGTGTGTGTGTGTGTGTGTGTGTGTCTGTGTGAAAGGAATACCACTCAGAGCACAATTCTGGCGGCTGGGCCATTTTCCAGTGGTGTGTCCTTCCCTAAGGAGCCTGAAAGGAAGTCCCCTTTGTTGTCATCTCCATAATGTTAATTGTGGACCAAGGGCCCCTGAAGAGGAAGGGTCCAGTGTACCCTTCTGCATCTATTGAGAAAGTTGTGAACAATCATTTGCCACAAACTGCTTTTCTGGTGCAAGAGCACCCTCTGAAACTGGAGCACCTAAGCAAGAGATAAACTTTGAAAAGGAGTATTTCACCATTGGAGGATATCTTCTGGAAAGAATTTCAGGGGAAGAAACTGGCAGAAGATAGAAATGAGGGTTCCAAGAAGGGGCTGTACTACACTGATGTCATTTGGTGGACACTCTATGGACAAGCATGCCTGAGAACTCCTATGGCCCAACCTCTTTGTCCTGAAATCTCCGGAGAGGCTTTGTCCTGAAATTTCCGGAGAGGATCTCCACAGTGATAACGCTGAGCAGAGGAATCTCTCTTGAGCCTGGTTTCTGGACATCATAATAGGATCCTCAACAGAACTAGGAAACTCCCTATCTTTCTATCCCACAGAACACTTGGGTTGCTTTTCTTGTCTGTCCACTCCACTACTGTCTGTCAAGAAACTTTTTTTTTAATTAATATTTTATTTTATTTATCATCATCATTATTATTTGAGAGGTTTTTGCCTTAGGGGGTGTGTGCTTGGTAGAGAAAAAGAGAAAGACAGTGAGAAGGAAAGTGAGAAATCACCCCACAGTGGCTATGGCCACGCCACAATCCCTTGTCCTCCATCCTCCTCCTAGGATCCTGGGCACATATGCACATGTGCCTGGCATGAGTTTCAAGCCACTGGGCTTGGGACAGGAACTATGGTTGACCATGTGGGACGCCAGCAACTTAACCACTATGCCATCTGCTGGCCTCTATTATAATTTTTTTAACTTGACCAGAGAGAGAGAAGAAAAGTGAGAAAGCAAGTCGCCAGGTCACTTCACCCTCATGACTCATTCAGATTTCAGGCACAACTCAGGGCCAGAGATCAAGATTGACTGTAAAGTGCGCTCTTACCCAGGAGCCTACTAAAGCACTTTGCATCTTTCCAGGAAGGAAGTGGAAGAGACAAACTTTCTCTTGAAGCTACATCTGAGGAAAGAGAATCTAAGGAGGTCAGCTTCTTGTTGCTTAGTGACAAGGGGAGGTTGTGACTGCACAATGCTGCTGTTGGTTGAGGCAGCACCTGGCCTATGGCCCTTTTGTGCTTGTTGCTGTTTCTTCTCTGTGAGAGAAATCTGCCCCTTGGCATTCACAGCTCTTACATACATAAACATTTAGGGCTCTGCAGTGAAACTGATAAGACTCACAGCCAATAAAATATTAAAGAACCTTTTAGAGACAAATCCTCTGCAGTTAAAAAGCCATGCGACTGACCATATTGCCAGACATCTAAATTTAGAAAGCATCTATGGAGTCAGTACAAATGTTAAAGGGGTTGATGGTTCCTAGGGTAAAATTGCTGCTTCAGAATAAGGCTTTAATGATTTATCTCTTAGGGGTGTATAGTGACTATGGATGCTAAACGTGATAGGTATATATTACAAGGGCATGAATGAATGAGGAGAGTGTGATGGAAGCATACGAAGGAGCATGCAAAGCTTTGACATCGTGGTTCAAATTCTGAGCTAACTCTGGGCAGATTGTTGACTGTAACACAGAAATTTGAACAGTTCATCTCCTTTACTAACCAAAAACAAATCTGCCAATCAGTCTCTAAAAATGTGTCAAGAAAAAGTTCAATAGTAGTTCAACTCCAACCCTGCTGGTGTCCCTGGCACAAGCTGCTCTAATATCCAGAAAGTCTATCCCAGTATTGTTGTCCTGAAATGTTCCTTCCACATGGACTTGTAGGTATAAAAATGTTCATTGTAATAGCATCTACATTGAGGAGGCAGCCAGTGTTTACCAGCGGGACAGTGAGGAAATTGGGCTATAGCTACTATGAATTACCTTCAGATACTTGAGTCTGCAGAGACAAACCTGAAGAGATACTGAATTAAAAAGTCAAGTTGTAGAAAGATTTGCAAGTATACCATTTATAAAATGATACAAAAACACAAACAGGCCCAGCTTCAGTGGCCTAAGTTGTAAGGTGTTGCTGCCCAATGCTGGAGCCCTGTAGAGGGTTCAGATTCGGTTCCTAGACCAACCTAAACATGCTGAGTACAGTGGCACAAGCCTGTAACCTGGAGGCTGAGGCGAGAAGATTGCAGTATGGTGGGACCCTGTCAAAAATACCTTCCTCTTTCTATTCCTTGCTTTCACATAAATAAACTTTTTTAAAATGGGAGGAGGGGCTGGTCTTATAGCCTAGTGGTTAAGGTAGCCTGACCTCACATGGTCAACATGGTTCAACTCTCAGCCCAATGACTTAAAAACCATACTAGGGGCATGTATATGTGTGCCCCAAATCCTGACAGGATAGTGAAATTAGAGAAGAAATCATGGTGTGACCATACCCTATGGGGGGTGTTTTCTCTTATTCCCTCTTTCTCTCTGTCTCTCTCTGGCTATTGCATATGCCCTCTGGCCAAGAATATTTTTAATGCAAAACAATGCTATGGACATACATATTAGGTCGTTGACTTTCCCAATGACCTAATATATGAACTAAATGTATAAAGCAAGCATAGGAATGATAAACAACAAATTCAGGATAGAAGTTAGCTAGGGAGGGGAGCAAGAGGAATGGTATCACACAAGTGCAAAATGGAGCCTTAACTCTACCTGTAATGACTTTATTTTTTAAAAAATAATTATTATTGTTATTTTTTAAATGTACAATTGGCATTTTATTTTTTACCAGAGGACAGACAGTTCTTTAGTTCTTAAAGACTCAGCTCCTGGGGACCAGCAGGTGGCGTGGTGGTTAAGGTGCTGGACATTCCTACATGGCCGACAGTGGTTCGTGTCCCAGACCTGGAGGCTTGCCTTCTCACTTTCTCTCTCTCTCTTTCTCTCTCTGTTTCTGTCTGTCTCTGGTCAAATTAAAAGAAATGAATGAATAAATAAATAATTAAAAAAAAAAAGACTCAGCTCCTTACATAGGCTTTGGTGGAGGACGAGGGGCAGCATCTATAGATGCTAAATCGGGTTGGGGTGGGGCCGGCAGGTTGCTTGGTGGTTAAGGATGCTGGACTCTCACATGGCTGACTGCCATTGGAGTCCCAGACCTGGCGGCTTGCTTTCTCTCTCTCTCTCTCTCACATTATTCAATCTCTGGTCAAATTGAAATAAATAAATGAATGAATAAATAAAGTTAAATGAAATAATTTAAAAATGGTAAATATATAAATAAACCGAGTCGGGGGTGTTTGGTCCTTCTGAGCTTCACGAGATCGGTTCCTGACTATCTTGCTACGAATGGCGCAACTCACACAGTAATGTAGCTTCACATACAACTTGGGGAGCACATAGGCATCAAAGACATTGCTTTGGAGATGTCCCTGATAGCTGCGGCCTCTACTATGTTTTGGATGATGAACTTCTTAATAGCCTTGTCCTTGGGCACTCGGCTGCACGTGACTGGGGCCCTTTTTGGCATAGCCGTTGTTCCTTCTTTTCTTTGTCATCTCAGAAGCAAGGCCGCGAGAGAAGCTTAAAGAATTATTTTTTATTTGTTTATTTATTTTAAGACCATTTTATTTATTCATTTATTTATTTTAATTTGACTAGAGAGAGACACAAAAAAAGAGAGAGAGATAGGGAAAGTGAGAAAGCAAGCCCCCAGGTCCAGGACTCAAACCGTGGTTGGCCATGTGGGAGTGTTTAGCACCTTAACCACCATGCCACCTGCTGGTCCCTATTTGTTTATTTTTAATTTGACCAGAGAGGGACAGAGTGAGAGAGAGAGAGAAAGTGAAAAAACAAGCTGCCACGTCTGGACTCCATGTGGGAGTCCAGCATCCTTAATCACCATGCCACTTACTGGCCCCTGTAATGACTTTATTTTTTAAAGTTTTATTTGGGTAGATTCAATATACAGTAAACCATACATGTTGAAAGTGTAAAATTTGATACATTTTGTTATATGTATATATGTATGAAACATATCACAGTCAAGATAGTAAAAATATTCATTGCATCAGGATTTCCTGCTGCCTGTTTGCCATCCTTCCCCATGGCACTTATTTACTTCAGGCTCCACTGTTCTGCTTTATTTATTTTAAAATTATTTTATTTATTTATTTATTTGTTTATTTAAATTTGACCAGCGAAGGACAGAGAGAGAGAGTGGGAGAGAGGGAAAGTGAGAAAGCAACCCGCCAGGTCTGGGACTTGAACTGTGGACGGCCACGTGGGAGTCCAGCACACTTAACCACCACACCACCTGCCAGCCTCCTGTCCTGCTTTCTGTCTGTATAGATAAATTTGCATTTTCTAGAATTTTATATAAATAGAATCTTTTTTTGGAGAGATTTTTGCTATAGGGCACGTGTGCTCGCCAGAAAGACAGAGACAGAAAGCGAGAAATCACCCCCCAGGGGGAATGGCCATACCAAAATACCTTCTCCTCCATTCTCTTCTCGGGATCTTGAGCATGCACGCACATGTGCCTGGCGTGAGTTTTAAGCCACTGGGTCCGGAATGCGAACCGCAGTGGACTACATGGGAGTCCAGCGACATAGCCATTACGCTAACTGCTAGTCCCTATATAAATAGAATCTTACAGTACACATTCTTTTGTGTCTGGCTATGTGTAGCATATTTTGAGATTTATCTATGTTGTTTTATCAATTGTTCATTCCTTTTTACTTAGTAATTTTCCATTGAAGGGATACACCAAATCTCTTCTCGTTTTTTTGTTTGTTTTTGTTTTATCTTTTATGAGCAAGAAAGAGAAAGAAGGATGGGGCCAGACTGGGGTACAGTGGTAAAATGTGATGGTTTGCAAGGCAATCCTACATGGGAAGGTTCCCAGTTCAAATACAAAGACTTCCCTAAGTATATATGTCCATGATCCAGTCTAGGGGTGAATCAAGGCATCAAGACCCTATTGTGGGTGCCGTCTCTTTCTTTCTGATTCTCTCTCTCTCAGAATAAACAGACTTAAAAAAATAAGTAAAAGGAGAGGAAAGAGGTATCTATCTATCTATATATATATACAAGTGTGTGTGTGTATAGACTCTCACCTTTGTGGTCCTCTGCCCCACTCTCCCAGTTGGCTAGTATTACAAGCACTCAGGCTAGTACTGATCCAAACCTGGACTGCTCACATGGCCCCAGCCTCAGGAGCTAATACCTTATCACTTGCACCAGCATAGTTGGACCTCCTCCTGGTCTTTTAAATTTTTTTAAGAACTGTTTTATTTAACTCTATTTATTTATTTATTTATTTATTTATTTATTTACCTATTTACCTACTTACTTATTTATTTATTAAACATTTTTTTAGCAGAGAGGGACAGAGAGAGAGAGAAAGTGAGAAAGCAAGCCACCAGGTCCAGGACTCAAACCACAGCCATGTGGGAGTCCAGTGCCCTTAACCATCATGCCTCCTGCCAGCCCTACCTCCTGGTCTTTTGAATCTGTATACCAATCAGGTTTGTCCTCACTGCATCACTGACATCGCTCCTGCCAGGCAGTTTCACCAACAGTAATTCTCATTCATCTTGTCACATCAGTAGCATTTTCCCAGCTGTCTCTCTCCTCTTTGAAGCACAATCCAGGTGGCTTCCAGAGCGCCACACATTCTTGGTGTCCCTATCCATCCCTGGCCACTTGTTCAAGCTCCTGGGCCACTGTCCCCTCAGTTCTCAAGTCTCTAAATGAGTTGTGTGTCCTGGAGCTCAATCCAATCTCTTTTCCATTTATAGACCTTCCTTGGTGATCTCATAGTTTACTGAGTTCAAAGTCATCTACAATCGTCAGAGGCAGAGTTAAATAGATCCTTCCTGTCCTGTGCTGTCCTTGTGCTAGGGCCACTCCAGCCTCCAGCAGACCAGGAGCCTCAGCCACTTCCTGACTCCTTTCTTCTTTTTCTAAAATATATTTTAAAATTTTTCTTTTTCTTTCTTCTTTTTTTTTTTTTTTTCCAGAAGGTCCATAGGCTCACTAGAGAGAGAGACAGAAAGAAAGGGAGGAGAAAGCATCTTCTCTATGAGGCATGGCCACACGGCTATCCCTTTTCCTCCATTTCTCCATTCTGTCGGGATTTGGGGCACACACATGCACTGGCCAGTTTTCCCAGCCGCAGGCGGGATTTGAACTCTGGTCATCCACTTGATTTCTGGCAGCCTTAACCACCAGTTCATGGCTGGCTCTAAAATTTGTATTACTATTCCCAAGCGTCCTCTCTCCACCAACCCCAGTTCTGTGTTCCCCTTACCTCTGCTCATCACCTGGCCTGACTCCGACCCCCTGAGCCCGGACCACGTTCAGGCCCGGGGACCCACCTCGCGGCTGCCCTCACAGGCGGCACCTGGCCATTCCCAGGGCTCAGGGCCTCCCTGTTCTCGGCACACTGTTGGGGGCGTAGGTGGAGCGACAAGAGAGCAGGTCGGCACTGGCGAGGGGCGCCGGGTGCTGTGGGAGGGCGGCGGGCCCTGAGGTACTGCTCTGCGGGGCTCGCGGGCTGCATGAGGCGCGGTGGGGAGCGGCGGGAGGGAGCAGCCCGGTGGCTGTGCGGACCGTTAAAACCGTTAACCACGTGCCTGCAGGGGGCGGGGCCCCGAGGACGGAGCGGAGTCTCCATTGGTCAGGGCGAACTTGTGGGCGGGGCCCGAGGACAGGACTGACGCCTCATTGGTCAGGGAGGCCATGGGGGCGGGGCTGTGTGCGCTTTGACGGGCGCTGAGGGACTTGGCGGGAGACGTTGAATCCCGCGACCCCAGGTGGGGCGGAAGTGGGGATTGGGAGGTGGGCGGCGCGGGGTGCGGCTTCGGCCGGTGGCGCTCGACGCCCTCCTCTTCCCGGTGGCCTCAGGCCGCGCGGGCTCCTGGAGTAGCGTCTGCCCTCAGCCTTGGAGCGCGGTTTTCCTCAGATTCCCCGAGGGCCGAGGGCCGCGATCGCATCCTCCGTGCCCTCCGGGCTGAACCGGGGAGCCCGCTGGCATTTGTCTACGACGGAAAGTCCGGTGGAGGCCTCTGAGGAGGACTTGGGAATGCTCTAGTTAGGAGCTCGGGTTGAAAAGACCCGGATAGGGCCAGCCCGGCGCGCAGATCCCACATGGCCGACTGCCGTCCCAATCCCCACCCGGCGGCTTGAGAAACACGCACGGCACAAGTGCCCGCGTGCCCCAGATCGTGAGAGAGAGAAGGGACTGCGGCCAGGCCACCCCGACACCCCCGGGTGATTTCTCACCTTCCCTGTCTCTGTCTCTCTGTGTCTCTCTGTCTCTCTCGCGCAGCACAAGCACCCGCTAACAATCTTTTTTCAAAAAGGGACGATGAGTGAGGGCAGCTGTTAGTGGTGGAGCCCCATCTGGCAGTGACCAGAGGGGCCTGGAGTCTAAGGAAGACACCTGCCTTGATGCCCTGGACGAACAGGAGGGGCTTCGGCCTGCCTCAGGACTGTTCTGGTAGAAGCTGGGCAGATGGTGGTCTCTGCCCCCCAGGGCCGTCCTCTCCCATTGCGTGTTCTGCCTTGCCAGGGCCGCCCCTTTGCTCGCATTCAACCTTCCCTCCCCTTTCATTCTTGCTGTAGTAGGGCTGGTGGTGAGAGATGAGGAGGGAACTCTGCCCTTGGAGTTTTCAGTGTGCATTTAAGTTTTCATTTACCTTAAAATGACTACCTCCTCATTATTAGCATTGTACTAGCATCTTCACGGAAGGCTTGAAGCTGATGGGATTCCTATCCTCTGGGAATTTAAAAGCCCATTATGCTGGTGGTTCCCAATTTATGGTAGTTCAATTTATAATTTTTTGACTTTATGATGGTGCAAAAGTGATATATAGTCTGTAGAAACCATAGCATGGTGGTTAAGAACTGGATCCCACATGGTCGGCTGTGCGGTTAGAGTACTGGACCTGGTGGCTTAAGAACCACTCTAGGAGCATGTACATGTTCAAAAACCTGAAAGGAGTAGAGTTGGAGGAGAAGGGATTGCAGTGTGATTATGTGCCCTGAGGGGTGCTTTCTCCTCTGTCTCTCTCTAGGAGAACTTGTACCATGTAGCCAAGTAAAAATAAATTTTTGTAAAAATAGAAACTCCAAGTACCTCTACAAACATTCTGTTCTTCACGTTCAGTACAGGATTCAATAAATTATGTTATATTCAACACTTTCTTTTTTTTTTTTTTTTCTTTTAGTTTTTGTTATAGGGCTTGTGGGCTCACCAGGGAAAGAAAGATTGAGGGGAGGTGTTGAGAAATCACCCCCCCCCCAGGGGAGATAACTATGCCACAATTCCTTCTCTTCTACTCTTCTCTCAGGCTTTTGGGCACACATGAAGGCACACACACACACCTGATGTGTTTTCCAGCTGCCAGGTCTGGGACTCAAACCATGCAGTTAGCCATATGGGATCCAGCTGCCTTAAAGCCACCTGGCTGGCCACTAGATTTTTTCCTTAGTTGCCAGAGGATACATGTGCTCACCAGAGAGAGTCAGAGACAGAGGAAGACAGGCTTAAAACATGGCAGCCATGTGTGTTTGCATGCCCAAAATCCCAAAAGGGGAGGAGGGAATGGAAGAGAAGGGATTGCAGCATGACTGTCCAGTAAGAGGGGAAGGTACTTTCTCACTTTCCTTGTCTCTGCTGTCTCTCTCCAGAAAGTACATGTACTCGCTGGCAAATTGAAAAAAAAAAAAAAAACAGGGACCAACAGTTAGCATTAATGGCTATGTTGCTGGACTCCCATGTAGCCGACCATGGTTCAAGTCCCAGACCCGGTGGCTTAAACTCATACCGGGTGCGTGTGTGTGCGCTCAAGATCCTGAGAGGAAAATGGAGAAGGGATTGCGGCGTGGCCATCCCTCCAGGGGATGATTTCTCGCTTTCCTTCTCTCTGTCTCTCTCTGTCTCTCTGGTGAGCGCACTCACCCTATAGCAAAAAAAAAAAAAAAAAAAAAAAGAAGAAGAAAAAAGAAAAAAAAAGACAACAGAAAAAGGAAATACTGTTTCAGAAAGATAGGTAATGGAAGTTTACACTGAGTGAATGGAACTGTAACTGCTGAAATGTCCCTATCTATGTATAGTAATCATTAGGAATTTTTGAAAAAATTACACTGTATTAACCTTTTAACGTTCCTCTGTTCTTTCTAATAGAGATAATCATAAAAACCATAAAAATGAATTTTAATATCTGGAATAGCAAAGACATGCTCAGTATTCCCTCAGGCTCTGGGTAAGTTTTCTTTTTTTATTAATTATTATTAATCCATTCACTTTTTTTTTTCATTTATTTATTTTAGTTTGACCAGAGAGAGACAGAGAAAGAGGGAAAGTGGGAAAGCAAGCAAACCAGCAGGTCCGGGACTTGAACCATGGTCAGCCAAATGGGAGTGTCCAGCACCTTAATCACCACACCACTTGCTGGTCCCCTCTGGTTAAGGCTTTGTTTTTTGTGTTTTTTTTTTTTTAATTTTATTTATTTTTAATTTGACCAAAGAGAGTGAGTCACAGAAATAGAGAAAGGGAAAGTGAGAAAGCAAGCCACCAGGTCCGGGACTCAAACTGTGGGCAGCCATGTGGGAGTGTCCAGCATCTATAACCACCATGCCACCTGCTGGCCCCTCCCTCTGGTTAAGTTTTATGGTTATAATCTTTTATACTGGAGAGGATCTTATGGTTTTGTTGATTTTATAGAATCTCCTCACTACCAGGTACCTCATACGTTCCTTCTCCCTTTCTTCCCCTCCTTTGTCACTGCTGTGTCTTCCTGTGCTTCCGTTTTGTCTTCCTGCCCCTTTCCTTTTCTTAAGTTTTGTTGTTGTTGTTTTTTAATAATTATCTATTTAATTTTATTTTATTTATTCATTCATTTATTTTTTTAGTTTGACCAGAGAGAAACAGAGGGTGAGAGTGAAAGAGAGAAGAAATGAGAAAGCAAGCCACCAGATTCAGGACTTGAACCGTAGTCGGCCATGTGGGAGTGTCCAGCACCTTAACCACCATGGCACCTGCTGGTCCCCAAGTTTTGTTGTTGTTGCTGTTGTTGTTCATCAGAGAGAAACAGAGAGGATAAGGGAGAGAGAGAAAGTGAGCAATCGGCCCCTCTGGGCGGGATGGCCACACCGCAATCCCTTTTCCTTCATTCTCCTTTCAGGATCTTAGACACATGTGCACATATGCATGGTGTGATTTCCAAGCCACTGGGTCTGGAATTCAGACCATGGAGTCAGCCATGTGGGATCCATGCCACCTTCTGGCCCCTTTATTAATTTTTTTATATTTTTAATTTTTTTTTTTTTTTATGGGAGTGATAGAGAAATAAGAGGAGCTAGAGACAAGCATCCTCAATAGAGTCTGACACCAACAATTCCCTTCAGCCTTCTCAGCCAGCCAGGATTGCAGACGAGTGTGCCAGGCATGTGCAGCTCACCTAAGATCTTCCACATGAATCCAGCACTGCTTGAGGAGCATTGTTACCTCTATACTACCAAGACGGCCTCCGAGCCCACCCTAAATGTGCTCAGAACACTTACAGGAAACTAATCCATGATCAGTTAGTCAATGGCTGCACAGAATCTTCTAAAACTTTTATAAGAATGTTTTTAATATCTTATGTAATTAACTCAATTCTGTACTGAAAAAAAAAAAAAACCAGAATGGTTGTATGGGTATTCAAAATAGGACTTTTTTTGCAGCATGGCCATCTCCCCTGTAGGGTGATTTCTCACTTTTCCTCTCTTGATTCTCTCTGGTAAGTACATGTACTCTATGGAAAAACAAAACAAAACAAAACTATAATCGAGCTTGAACACAGCTCACTGACTCAGCTATAGATACAAAACATAAGTAGACAAACAGATAAACCATAGTATTCAAGTTTTAATCTTATTTTTATTTTTTAAAGTTTATGTATTTACTTCCTCCTGAGAGAGAGATAGAGAGACACACAGAGAGAGACAAGTCGACAGAGAGATAGGCACCCTCAACAGGGTCCTCATGCTGTGATCCACCCCCAGCCTCAACCAGCCTGGATCACAGGCACATCCAGTGGCTTGCATGAACAGGCAGGCCTCCAATGAAAACCCACCAAGTTAGCTAGCTATAGCAGGCTTAAAGGAAGTTGGCAGATACCAGCGTAAGTACAGATAACCTCCAACTTGCAGTTGTTTGACTAAATGATTTTTCGATTTTAGAATGACATGGAAGTGATACCATTTGGTATTATTGTTATTAGTATCACTATTCCTTGGCAGGTGGCATGGTGGTTAAAGGTGCTGAACTCCCACATGGCTAACCATGGTTCAAGTCCCAGACCTGGTGGCTTCCTTTCTCACTTTCTCTCTCTTTCTCTCTCTCTCTTTGTCTATTCCTTTGGGGGCTGTTCTACCTTCTTTTTTAAAAAAATATTTTATTTATCTTTATTTATTTAATTTAATTTGACTGAAGACAGACAGAGTGAGTGAAAGAGAGAGGGAGAGAGAAAGCAAGCTGTCAGGTCTGGGATTTGAACCGTAATTGGCCATGTGGGAGTCCAGCGTTTTTAACCACTATGCCACTTGATGTCCCCAGTTGCTCTTTTTTTTTTTTTTTGGAGAGGTTTTTTTCACTATAGGGCGCGTGCACTCGCCAGACAGACAGAGAGAGACATAGAGACAGAAAGCGAGAAATCACCCCCCAGGGGGGATGGTCACGCCGCAATCCCTTCTCCTC